GCTATAAGTCATAAGCTATAAGCTATAAGCTAGCTTATCACATATAAGCTATAAGCTAGCTTATCAGCTATCAGCTAGCTTATCAGCTAGTTTTACCAAACACACCCATAAGCTCTCTGTTTAAAATAAGTCTCGTTTGGTAGGACAAGCATTTTTAAAAAGCTCGAGCTTATTTCATAAGCTACTTTAGGTAGCTTTTTAAATAAGCTAATTGAATTTTTTATTTCAGCTAGCTTATCAGCTAATTTACCAAACATCTTTTATCATATAAGCTAGTTTTTCAACTATAAGTCATAGGGTATGTTTGGTATGACATATAAGCTAGCTTATAGCTTATTTGATTAGCTTATAAGCTTCCTGTATTAAATAAGCTCTGTTTGGTAGGACGAGCTTATTTAAAAAGCTCGAGCTTATTTGATAAGCTTGTTTAGGTAGCGTTTCAAAATAAGCTCGTTGAATTTTTTTATTTCAGCTAGCTTATAAGCTACTTTTACCAAACACTTTTATCATATAAGCTAGTTTATAAGCTATAAGTCATAAGCTATAAGCTATAAGCTAGCTTATCATATATAAGCTATAAGCTAGCTTATCAGCTATCAGCTAACTTATCAGCTAGTTTTACCAAACACACCCATAAGGTATAAGCTATAAGCTCAAAAATTATATATAAACTATAAGCTAGCTTATCAGCTATAGCTTATCAGCTAGTTTTACCAAACGCACTTTTAATTATTTATCATGGGGATAGATAGGTGAGTAATAAATATAGAAACTTTTAAGGTGCTTAAATTAAATAGACTATAAACTAACCCCTACTCTTTAGCAAACAGCGTAAATTCCATCAAATCTGACCAGTCTTTAACAACAACATAAAAATATAGAAATCCTCACCATAGCCTTTAATGTCATAATTTCCACGTGGCAGCTTCCCATTCGCATTATCAACACGCGAATTGCACCGAAAAAAAAAAAGAAAAAAAAGGAAAATTTGAATTACAAAATACACCTCAAACAATTCATTAATTTCACTTTTCTTCCTTAAAATCCCCGACACCACCTTCAAACACGCACAGTTCTTCCACTCGGTGTTTCTAGTCAGCGGGGGGAAAAATTCATCGTCGACCAAAGAATATCTCACACACAGAGAGATTCAGAAAAGATCTTTAGATCGCTCGGAGATCCCTTTTCCGATCGGAGAATTGATTGTATGTAAATCTCGAGTTATTTGCAGCTGCTGCTGAACCATTCGACGGCTTAATCCGCTGGGGGAAAAATGGCGAGGAGTAGATCGTCGTCGAGCAGGTGGAGATATGTAAACCCAGCGTATTATTTGAAGAGACCCAAGAGATTGGCTTTGCTCTTTATAGTGTTTGTCGGCGCCAGTTTGGTTGTTTGGGATCGGCAGACTCTAGTTCGCGAGCACGAGGTGAATTTTGATAAAGAAAAGATTCCATTTTTTTTGCTCTTAATATGATTCGAAATGTTGTGGGTTCGAGTTGTCGATTGGGATTTAGAGTCGCTTTGTTCATGTGTTAGTGTGGGTAAAGGATCTGCGAGTTTGTTGTTAGGATGTTCGGATTTTTCTAGGTTGTGGTTTATCAGTCTACTGTTCATTTTTTGTTGTCGGTTCTGACAGTGATTACTGCAGGAGTTTAGGATTTTTTCGTGGTTAATGCACAATGTGACTTTTTGTTATTGGTGATGGTGAATGTGCAACTTTAACTCCGAGGACTTAAAACCACAATTCGCGCTTTTGCTTTGAGTTCTGCCGGTTAATATGAGGAGATGCGCATTTCCCATGATTTTTGGAGCATGGTTTTGTTCTAGAATTGACTAGTTCTCTGTCATATTGTATGCCCACATAATTTAATTGGAATTTTGATCTGATATGATTAATCGATTTTTTTTTTCTCGGCAATGTCACATAGATACCTCTGAATGGGAATAAATTGCCTCGTATAGTTCTTCTTCTTTGTGTGTGTATTAGAAAAATCAACTTAACATAATTTTTATTTTCTTTTATGGGTGATTTATTACCTTATTCGGGTTTGCGTGCATTCTTTTGTTCATTGCGTTTAACAGATTCTTTTATTATTATGCAGGAAGAGCTGTCTAAATTGAGTGATGAAGTTAATCGGTTACAAAGTCAAGTGAGTTGTTCTATTTCTTGTTTTTTCTTCTTCTTCAGGTTCTTCACGTGTCTTCTTATAGAGGTGTTAGAAGCGCTGTCACCAACCTTTTTCATCTCAATAGTTTTACATTCTAACCCTCTGGATTCTTGAATCACGGTTTCTCTTGTGATATGTTATGTTCAGGTTAGGAAGAATTGGATTGGTTTTATGTATGTCTATCAGTCTATGCCAATAACTCTTTATATTGAGTTGAACTAATAGAAGTTTCTTTTACAATGCTCTATTTTCTTGTCTTTAATAAGTATATGACTTAAGAGTTAGCTGTTTTTCAGCTTCAAGATCTAAAAGCTGGTCAAAGTGGAGCAGGAAAGGAAAATGATCGTCACACTAATGAAGCGAGTAGGAATTCAGGTGGTTTCGATGATCCAATTGACCTTGAACGAAGAGAGAAAGTTAAAGATGCTATGATTCATGCATGGAGTTCATACGAAAACTATGCTTGGGGTCATGATGAACTCCAGGTATATCTTTTACAGATTTTTTATTGCCAATATCTATAGTTTCAAATTTAGTACCAAATTTAAATGGTCAAGTTTTTTAAAATGTTAAGCTGCTTTTTCCCTTTCGCCTTTACAACTTTTTGATAGGCGATCACACTATGCCTAATTGTCTCAATGTTGTAGAGATTTTTTACCCTTCTTTTCTTCTTTCTTCCTCTTCTGAACGTGAATATGCATTTTTGGTTGCCAGCCTCAGTCAAAAAATGGTGTCGATAGCTTCGGTGGTCTTGGAGCAACTTTAATTGATGCTCTTGACACTCTGTACATTATGGGATTGAAGGATCAGTTCCAAAAGGCTAGAGAGTAAGTCTAGGTTACCTTTTATGGGTTACTACTGTATTTATTTTACATATGCATTTTCTTCCTCCGTTTGTTTCGTTTGTGTCTACATTGAAGAATTAATGACATCGACATCATTTTCTTCAGATCAGCCATAGGTTTGGGTCGAAAGTTTATTGTTTATGGTATCTGTGAAGTGTTTAGCGTTCTTTATAGTCTGATTGATTCTAATTGCTATAAACACCCATAAAACTTAAGCTAGTATGAACCGATCAAGATGGATTTATATCATAAATTTTAAGAAGAGAAGTCGTAACTATATGTAACTTTTTAATCTTATCCGATTGTTACCTGTGAAATGAGGTCCTCCTGTTTCAACTTACACTGAACCTATTTCCACACGTATTTGTAGTTGCATGATTGCAATTTTCTTGAACCAAATGTTTAATGAATTGAACTTTTTAAATGAAAGACCAGTATATGCTATATTTGATGATTAGTAACTTGTTCATGGCAGTTGGGTTGCAGAGTCCTTGGACTTTAACAAGAACTATGATGCCAGCGTCTTCGAGACAACCATAAGGTTGCTTTATAAGGTTCAATGTCTTTTATATTCGTTCAGTTAGTTTAACTGATTATTATACATACTGATTTGTCAAAACGAGACCTTGTTGTCATTAAGGAAGCAAAAAAAAAAAAAAA